TGAAAAATAAGACAAAAACTTACTACCTATATGAAATGGTGTTTAAGTGATTCTTCAAGTCTTATTAAAATTTTAATTACCCAAACAATGATACTTTTGGAAATTCTTTTTTTTATAAGACACGCTTATATTTAGTGACTGTATTTGGATTATAAATAAAAATAAAATATTTTGTTATTGTTTGTGTATTTAGCTTAAATCACTCACAAAAACAAATATGGACCAACGAAAAAAAATAAAAATTACCATTTTGAGAGAGTGGTTTCAGTCCGAAATCCCCCTATGTAGATCCACCTATCGATACTTGAAGACTCGTATGGTTTTGTTTTGTTTAACTTAATTTTTAACGTTTACCATTTTGAGATATTGTATTAACTTATCAATATAATGTTGCGATTTAACTTATTTTTGTATTGTAAACAAAAAGAATTGTATTGAAATTTTGAAAATTAAACAAATTCGCTACTGTGTTTTATATTTATAGAATGTTTTTTGATGTATTTATTGGTGTTTTTAAGATACCTACCTTCCTCTGAATAGGTAATTTAATGAAAAAAAATAATTGCGTTATACATATGTGGTTAAATATTATATACTACATTTATTTTAATAATGTTCAAAATCAGCCAAATTCAATACGTTTTTGACTTCTAGATGGATGAAATATAATTATTTTTACAGAAAAAATGGATTTGTCTGGTTTTTAAATCCTACGGCTCGTTTTATAAGATTAGGAAGTTCTAAATTCCTAATAAATGTTTTAAATATAATACCTTAATGTTATTAATAAATATTTTCGATTCACGAAATTTTTGTCGGCAATAATAAGTGAATGCGCTGTGTTGTGTAAAACATTGTTAAGTAGGTAATGTTATTTATGTTACGTCCTTGTTTGAGATTTATATGGTTTACTTTCATGTACTAAACGTGAACAGTTGGTTGACAATAAAGTATAGCCTATTACGGTATTTTATTATTATTATAGCAGTTGATGCTTGAAGTCCTAAGCGTTTTCACTTATGTTAGTCTACGTTGTCTTTCCATAAAAGTTGCGCAGCCAGATGAGAAGCGCTGAGATCTCTTGATGCCCTTCCTTTTCTCGTTTTTCCTTTCTTTACTCATATCATTCTTTATAAAAAAAAATGTAGGAGAAAAAGAGAATAGAGGAGATACGTAGTAGTCAGGGGTAGAGATCCTTTTTTAACAAATCATTAGCACTCGTCCAAAACTTTTTTGGTGGTTTCATTTTTGGTAAAGTACAATTTAATATCCACGAAAATTCTCATAAGTGGAGTGTTTTCTGTTTAAATAACTTAATTTAACGAGGTACTAAAACTCATGAATACTCATTTGGTTTTCACTAGAATCGTGAGATAATTTGAACACGAAATCGAGAAAAAAAAGATGACCTGCTTAAAAATTAGGTCGTTTGCCAAATGTTTGTAGACCACCTTTTTTGTCGATTGATCAAATTATCTCACGATTCTTGTGGAAATCAAATGGGTGTTCATGAGTTTTTACTATCTCATTAAATTGACAAATTTTACCCATTTCCAGATTTTAGACGCACCATTTCCGGGAATTTTCGTGAACAAAAAAGTAGATATTACGATAAAATGACATTGACGATAATGACAGTTATGTATTATGTAGGTATATTAGAAAAATGGTAACATAAGCAAACTATACTAAAAAAAAACTTTATTATTCATAACGCAATAAATAATAAAAATCTTCTGATAAGTAAAGAAAAAAAATCAAAACAAAAATATATACATATATAGATCACTGTTTGAAATAAAACAATATATCTGCTTTATCTAATCTAGACTGATGTTACTGTGGCTTATGGACTATCAGTCAATTTTCTCTGACACTTTCCAACATTTTGCGTGTGAAATAGGTTTCTTTGATCTTTTTGTAACACATGTGTTAAGGATTGGGGATGTGTCACCCACTATGTAGTCAAGTCAAAGATATATTATACAATATCGATTAATACAGCTACAATAAAAGGTAGTCTGTACTGGGAAGTATGGATACGGACTAAACGGTTTTGGCCATCGAACACTCGAACGCCCTAACGTTTGGTTATTATCATTATAAGGCTGTAGTGTAGTTTGAACATAGTGAAAGTAGTATATAGGTCAGGCTAGTATGCATATACATTGTATAAGTTTAACTGAGGTTAGTACGCTGGGCACTAGGGGATCCAGGATTTAATATTGGGGAGGGCTTCAGCCCGAAAGCTTTTTTTTTCATAAAAAAATAACGATAATTACTTTGGAAAATAAGAATGAAACTAACTACCTATATGAACTGGTGTTTAAGTGATTCCTAAAGCCCTTTTAAATGTAATTACACGAATAATTATACTTTAAGAGATTATTTTTTTTCGATAAAACATGGTTATATTTTACCATTTGGGGGGGGGGGGAGGGCTTCAGCCCGAAAGTCCCCTCGTAGATCCGCCCTTGACGCTGGGTGCCATGTTAAGAAAAAAAAAATTATATTTTCTATTGCTTAAAACTAATTAGTAAATGGTGTATGTCCTCAGTTAGTAGTTTTTTTTTCAAAATAATAAACAGCTATGTTAATCATTGTTCGCTCAGTGGTTGAAATTCGACTATAATCATTATTGAAAATGTGAGGAAAACAAATATGAATTTGCATTTTTCTATCTAATCTTATACATCCGTACATACACTTTTATATGTACTTACAAAAAAACATTTAAGTACCATTTTTTTACGTTTTGAGTTATTCACAAATAAAATTTTGAATCCATCATTATTTGTTTTCAGCCTCTTTTTGGATTATATTATATACATAAAGTAAAAGGATTTCAAGGAGAAAACTTTAGCCAAGTTTCATTATAATCGTCACCGTTTAGGCTTCATAGTCTACAACGACTCATGTTTTTCGGAAGCCATTTTGAAACAAGATGTCGGATGGTAATGAAATGTTTTGAGTTGGCAAATAAGTCTTTTCGGTTTTTTAGGGTGAAATAAAACTCAATGTATTATAGACATAAAATTTATTTTAATCTACAATATATTGACTATTATTTAGTATGACTTTTTCCCATCTTTCCACTAACCGCATAATGCCATGTTCATAGAATGTGTGGAGTTTATTGTTAAAAAAACTGATCCAAGCGGTTTTTGATGTCCTTTTCTTTTTGTAATTTCTTTCCATTCATGGAGTTCGTTAGAGATCGGAATAAGTGGTAGTCACTTGGAGCTATTTCAGGTGAATAGGGAGGGTGGGGCAAAAGGTCCCATCCAAGGCACAGCGTTGTGTTGGTGGAACACAACATCCTTCCGATTTGCCAGTTCTGAGCGTTTATTTTTAATTGATTAGTCCAATTTTGTTAATTTTGAGCGGCATATGAAATGAAAAATAATTTTATTCTGACACTGAAGTCCCTTTAGAATAATAGTAGAGTTAAAAAAATGTGTGCATTAGTCTGGCATGTAGATATCATACGAATATATACAAAAAATACTAAGGAAATTGTAAATATAAGTTTGGTGAATAGGGAGTGTGGGACAAAAAGTCATATCCAAGGCTCAATAATTTATTGCGAGTGACCAATAAGGTGTGGGGCCTAGCTTTGTCTTGGTAGAACACTAAACCCATCCAATCATTCATAACTCTTCAGGATGTTCTCCAAATTCGTTGAAAAGCTGAATTATTGCTCTTCGAAGTTGTATGAATGGTTTTTCGGTGTAATGCTTACATAAGGAATAAATAAACAAAAACTTCTTATAGGTTTTTATTTGTTTTTCTCTATTTTTAATATGTTTACGAAGGTCCTGTTGATGTCATTTTGTGTAGTTTATATGACCCTAAACCACTGCTAAATTTCTTGTAGATAACTAAAGTCATATTTAAGTTATAACAGTTTTTGTGATTTTCGAAAAAAAAAAATCATGTGAGTGACCCAAACATTAAGCCTGGAAACATAGCCGAGCTTGTGCAAATGGTTTTATACGCTTATATACGACACATTTAGGGCCATATCAATCTCTCAATGGATTAACAATAGTGAATCACTAACAGAAATGCGTGTTGCCAAGTTGAATTCGGTTAGAGATTGAGGGACCCAAACATTAAGCCTGGAAACGTAGCCGAGCTTGTGAAAATAGTTTTCTACACTTGTGTGGGACACATTTAGGGTCATAGCAATCTCTCGCACTGATCAGGTGAGATTTTCATCAAAAATGGCAATAACATTGCTCGTTTCAATTCCATTTGGGCGACCAGAGCGTTGAGCATCGTTGATGTCTAAATTTCCTGAATGAAATTTAGCAAACCAATTTTGACAGGTACGTTTGGTTAAGGTATCATCTCCATCATCCATCATCTCCAAGCAAGTTTCAACAAGATTTAACAGATATAGTTGTTGAAAGGATAAACAATCCATCTTAGGGATTAATTTATCAGAAAAGAAGTTTATCATGGTGACATAAAAATAAACAGAAAAAAACGAAAGGACTTTTTTACCAACCCAATATAGAAATACACTATTGAATTTGATTTAGGGATTGTATCTAAATTTCAAATTAATCGGTCAAGATCTTTCGGAGATTAACGGTTTTAAATAAACTAAAATTCAAATTTTTAATAACGTCAATAGCTACTATACAAAATGGAAATCTGTAGAGAAACAGAGAATTAAAAAGTACTAAATTATTTTGTCTTTGCCTATTTATATAATGATGGTAGATTAGTAATTGTTTAATCGAGTTTTGGTCATAATTTTCTCATTTTTAGTCTGTAACATTTTAACCGTATCTTTTCTCTGATTCAAATATCATCAGGCGGAAACGCTTCTCTCTAAAAATTTATATAAACGGTTTCAAAACGTCTTCCCGCCACGATGAAGATAAGGGCATTAAGGAGCCTGTTAGGAAATTCCTAACAACGAATTCCGGCGTGGAACGATTTCTTTGAAACTAATTGTCTGTATGCAAATGGGATACAGCAGAAAGACTCTAGGGCCCATATTGAATACCCCGCTGGTGGTCCTCTTTCAATGTTATTATGTAGCCCGTGTACATATCCTTTTTCATTTCGGCTATCACTTCCTGCCTGTACGATCCACGGAAGAGCATGGCTTGCATAATGGTTGGGTTTTCGCCCAAGAGTGCCGTGTATGCTGACGCAAGACATCTAGGACGTGCGGTGGGTGGTCCCGTTTGTGTACCGTCCCTCCTCGCTTGGAGTAGATGGCACATCGGCTGTCTTTTAGGCATTAGTCTCCCTTAAGTGGAATTGTTTAATTCTGTTGGATTTTTCATTAAGCTACATTATTTTTATTCTGTTTTAAAATAATTTTTAAATTGACCATTTTTCGATATTAATCATGCAGAACCAAATTATTTGTTTATTATATAAGGTTTTCAAACACCTGTGTAATTTTTAACCTATATTGTAATTATGAAATCAACTACTACTAATACTCAAATAAGAAATACAATTTTACAATTGTTAAATTGTAGAATTTTTTTTTTTTTTTTCAAACGCTTCTTGACTCTTTTGACTTCCGCCATTAGTCTTCTCGCAGCATTGGGGCTAAGCTGTAATCGTTTGGTTCTCTTCTTATGTAGATGTTATCCAGGGAGCAAGCGGTATAATAATCTGACGCAATTACAATCACTCTCTCTTAATCAGGATGGTTGGCAACCTTTTTCATACGTCATAATCGTGTTGCTTTTTACAGGATAGGGTTATTAGTCTTGTGCCCAATCCCCAAATCTGGAGGACTATGTTACTACAATCCCCAAAGGAGCTATGTTATTATAAATAGGGGCCGCCTCACATTGCTGTGAATCTCAGAGGGTGAGGACGTTACTATTCCCATACGGGAATCGAACCCGCACCGTAGTGACCTAAGCAATCGAGTAGGGACTGCACTTATTTATTTATTATTAATTATTTATATTTTTATCTTCTTTATTTTTGTTATTTAATACCGCGAAAGAGATTTTAAACTCGTAGCATACAATTTTTGCAGGCGACTTCACTCACTCGACCACCGCGGCTAGAAAAAATGTATACAATTTTTAAAAATGTTGGTTTTGATATTACTATTGAAAGTGAAAATATAGTTTTTCACGTTTCCTGAAAATTCGTCAATGCTGGTTGTGGTTCACTTTGGAAATAAATGATTCATACGAATAATACGTTTTGGTGAGTATCATTTCCAAAAATGGATAAATTGAAAATTTAGTTTAGAGAGAAATGCTTTATTTTCAAGAATTTCTTACAGTGACAATTTAGTAACAAAAACTATATCTGTCAGTCCACTGGCGGATGTACGGAGGAAACGCACCGAGGAGGGTTTCTGTGAATGATTTCAGCTAAATAATTAAACTATCAACATTTGTTCTCTTTTTAAATCATAACATATATACAACTAAAAAATGTAAGCACGTGTCAAGATAAAACAAATATTAACATTTTACCTCTAAAAGCATTTTCGTTACTTTAATTATGTTTGTTTTATTTATTTTTTTTTTTTTAACAGGCCTTCAAGACCCACTTAACAATACAGGTATTTTCTCTGTTCTTCCAGAATAATTACCATTATAAAAAAAAATTTCTGGATCCGCTACTGCAATAATTTTTTTTCTCTTTTTCAGTTTAATTATTTAGGATAGTACTTACCATTATCATTAACAGTAATGATAATGCTGATAACTATATTAGCTTACATCTTAATTGTTTTCCCTCTTCAATGCATTTACATTAATTTCCTGTTTTACGGTTTCAGTCAATCCTGAATAATTTCATAAAAATAAAATGGCCATAGAGCCGGGTAGCTGCCCAGGGGGCGACCGACACGTTTTAAGAATTAAAAAAAAAATGCGTATGACAATAACTAATTTTAGGCTATTAATAAAGCAACTGAATTATAGATATATTTAATGAGTGGGACGGGGTAGCCGAACGGGCTAACGTGTGTGCACAGCACCACCATTGCCCGGCAACCTGATCAATTAGATAATGGATTTAAAATAGCCGCCACTTCGGCGCATGTCGTGTCCACCAGTTTATTTCAACTCCATACCACTTCCCCTCTGCGACACAGTTCGGTACCTTATCTTCTAGACAAAAGACTAACATGGAATCCACATACCAGACTTAAAAGAGAACAGCTTAACCGACGATATGGCCAACTATATAGACTACTCAACAGAAATCTCAACTTTCAGTTGAGAACAAACTATTAATCTACAAAACAATCCTGAAACCTATTTGGACCTACGGACTCGAACTGTGGGGGACAGCAAAACTTTCTAACATCAAACGCATTCAATCCTTCAAGTCTTCGAACAATTGACGATGCTCCCTTTTATGTTCCCAATAAAACCCTACACAATGACCTTAATATCCCATTTGTACTTGACCTAATCCCAGACAAATTTTTCAAATTTCACCAGAATCTCACTCATCGTCCTAATTCTGTAACACAGTCTCTATCTACCTCTAGTCATCAGTACAATCCTCCTTGGAGGTTAAAACTGCAGTGGCCCCGCGACCTTTGGTAAAAATTTATATATTGGAGTACTGGCACTGGCCACCTGATCGTCTGCTGCTCTAGTGCCCTCCATCAGCCTCCACTGGCTTACTATACCAGTGACGCGGCTGGGAGAGAAGCACTGGGATCTCCTGGAGTTCTACTTTGGCTTTCCCAATTGGGTGACAAAGCTTGATTCAGAGTCCCATGGGCCAATGTAAACATTGTACATAGGTGGGAATGTGTTTTATTTATTTTGTTATCATTCGGCTTTAATCTGTTATTTTACTTATCTTGTGTTTTACTTTATCTTTTTATTTATGTATATCTTTTTTTTTTCTTGCATAAATAAAAATAAATTTTTATGAGTTACTTTCATAACCAGGTTTAAATCCTAATAGTGTTTTATTTGTTTATTTTTTTAATAAAGAGTCGATAGTCTTGAAAAAAAAGTTATCTATCTCTGACAGATGAAACATTATGCGAAGAACTTTCAATGGCCGATTTCAAATTAAAATCGCCAACCATGTAGCGAAATAGGTCCATCTAACTTCAGAGCCCTTCTCTTCTAATAATCTTATAATTAATGAATTTTTCTAATCCTAAATTATGGCTTAAATTAACCGATGTTTTCAGGAACCTGGATTAGTCGAATAAAAAGATGTCCTCTTCTATAGATTTTTTTTTTTTTTTTTAATTTTTCCTAGCAACCGGTTTCGCTCTACAGGTCTTCACCAGGCTAAAACAACAAACAATTATCAGTATTAAAATAAATTACATAAAAATAATCAATGAAACATAGAAGAATACCCTTTTAGTTCAGCCTCATTCAAAAGATTCTCTCTACTCCAATAGTAAGTAATACTAGAAATAATTACCATTTTTATACAATTATAGATGGCCGGGTTTTTTTACCACCAGTTTATTATTGGATATATATATATATATATATATATATATATATATATATATATATATATTTATATCATGTATAATGCCATAAATATTGGATATATGATAGGGCTGTTCTTTGCAATGAATATTACAAGAATTTCCTTCTCTTGATGCCACTCAATTGAATAAACACTGAACTTCAAAGGTCATTCTTCTATGTTTCAAGAATAATAAACAGCCTATCTATTGCACATAAATAATCAATACTAAGAAAATCCACGAAAAAGATATGTACAATGAATAAGTAAAAATGGTATGTACAATTACATCTAGTAAATTTGAACATATGAATATAATGATATGAAAACACTTGCTGAGTAACTACCCAATGGTACACTCTAATGACATGTCTACATTAGGAGATCAGGGGACCATCTTCTTTTCAGACGCCTCGGAGGGTTATCAGGAATTGAAGAGGAAGCAAGGTTAGAAACGAGAGGGTTGGGATGATTCTGAAGTTTATTATGGAAGGATAGGTATCTAGATTAGGTCAGATCTGAAACAAAAGAAACATTAAGGTCATTATGGATGGTTTTATTTGTAACAAAGTAGGGAGCATTAAGGATTTTGGATTGTAAGGATTGGATACGAGAGGGATTCGATGGTTTAGTGTAGCCCCATAGCTCAACTCCGTAAATCCAAATAGGCCTTATTATAGTCATGTATGTGAGTCTTTTGTAATTAATTCGAAGTTTAGAGCGTTTGTCTAGTAAGTGCTAAAGTAATCGGAAACGTTGAGCGATTTCTATGTACAAAATAAAAATTAAATGCACACGCATACCTAACTCATATAGATTTTAATATCCATCTTGTCAATTGAGGACTACATATCAAATCTATACACTAGTTGAATCCCCCTTTCCACAAATCGTCTACGTCCCAGCTTCGATAATTGCAACAAATTTAATAAGTGAACACTCTATAAATCCTTTGAATAAAATACATTATTTTTTATTGTTATTTTAAAGTATTATTATTCGTATTACATTTAATAGGACGTCAAAAATCACATTAACACCAAGTTTCTTCCTTTTTCTACCCAAGTAATTATCGTCATACAAGGCTTTAGCGCTGAAGATTCCGGTCCAAAAAAATATTTAATCCTGGATCCGATACTGAGAAATGACGAAAATGAGGAATAAAAAAAGCAGTTTAAGAATAAAGCTTAGATTTATATTGTTTATTTTATTTTTTTGCACAATTATTGATTATTATTTAAGATTCGGTAAATTGAATTAATCTACCGGCAACATCTCGTGTCGTAGTTGGATTTCGCGATCGGAAGGGTGGCTATAAATTCCTGGCGGTAAATCTAAATGAGTCATCACCAGAGCCCAGATGTTTTTGCATCAAAAACTCGTCATATATGTCATTATTTGTCATATAACATGCAATAAAAACGAAGAAATGTGCAATAAAAATTACAACATGAGCAGCGAAAAATCTTCAAATATGCAACAAGGAAGCTAAAATATACTAATATGCGTACGAAGACCTAAAATATGGGAGAAATTGGAAAAGTTATTAAAATTAATTTTTTAAAAATTGATGACGTTATTGGATTTTTTTCTCATTAAATAAAACATGAAAAGATAGATAAAGATGTAATAACAGAAGATTTGATATCAAGATATTCATAAAAACAAATTATGGCATGATTTTTCGCAGAAAATATAAGATTTGTGATTTTTTTTTTTTTAATATGATGTGATAATTCAAAATATATATAATTATGATAATTAACAATTACTTCAAAGTGAA